TTATGCTCCTCAAGCAGGTTTAGATACAGGGTCTAAAGATAAATTTTAGAATGACTTAGAAGACTTAATACAAATGATACCTCTTGAAAAAAAAAATTTATTGGAGGAGATTTAAATGGACATGTCGGTAGAATGATAGAAGAATTCAGAAATGCTCTTGATGGCTACGGTTTTGGAGTAATTAATGAAGAATGTGGAGCTATTTTAGATTTTGCTTTAGCGTATGATTTTGTTATTACTAATACTTTATTCAAGAAAAGAGATGAGCATCTTATTACTTATAAGAGTGGATCTAATAAAACACAAATTGATTATTTTCTTATGAGAAGAAGAGATCGTCGCGATTGTAAAAATTGTAAGGTCATTTCAAATGAAAATTTAAGTATCTAACATCGTTTATTAGTTTTAGATTTTAAGATTAATAGTTGAAAGATGAAATAAATATAATAAAATATTGTCATAAAATTAGATTCGGGCACTTAAACGACACAAATAAAATTATTTTTATAAGTAAACTTCAAAATCTTATGATTTGGAATGTTCATGAAGTTAATACTATGTAGGTTAAAAAAAACGAGTCTTATTAAGCAAATTACAAAAAAATATGTTGGGAGAATTAATAAAAAATATTTATGAATAAAAGTAATTGATGATGGAATAATAATGTGAAAAAAATATAAAAAAAAACATGTTTTGTATAAAAATTGATTTGGATGCAAAAATTAAGAGAGTTGAAAAAATATAAGGGTATTAGAAATTAAAGAAGGCGAAAGATATATGTATAAATTAACCCAATAAATGATAAGAAAAGTAAATATTATATTAAGAATGAAAATCAAAGTGTTTTTTCAGATGATTTTGATAAAATTTTTAATGAAGATTATGAAGATACAATTGACTTTAGTGATCCTAATATCGTAAATAATAATAAATCTTTTTTTTTCTAACGCATATTAGTATAACGAAAGTTGAATAGATTTTAAAGAAAATGAAATGTTAAAAAGTAGTTGAAATTAATAGTATTCTAATAGAAGTGTGAAAATAATTAAAAAAAATATATTATGAATAATAATAAAACGCTTCATTTTACCGTCGCATTAGTAAAAAAGAAGTTGATGAGACTTTGAAGAAAACAAAGCGTGGAAAGTCTGTAGGACTTGATGATATCTCAATTGAAGTGTGGAAATATTTGGGAGATTTGGGAGTTTCTTGGCTTACTAAACTCTTTAATATTACTTTAAAAACTAAAAAGATGCCCGAAGAGTGGAGGAAGAGTATTTTGGTCCCCATTTTTAAGAATAAAGGGGATGCACAGGAGTGTGTAAATTATAGAGGAATTAAGTTAATGTGTCATACTTTAAAGTTATGAGAAAGGGCAATTGAACATATGTTAAGACGCATCACAAAGATTTCTCATAATCAATTTGAATTTATGTCGGGCAGGTCTACTATGAAAGCTATACATTTATTGAGAGGTTTGATGGAGAAGTTCAGAGATAATAAGAAGAAACTACATTTGATTTTTATTGATTTAGAAAAAGCTTACGATAAGGTTCCAAGAGAGATCCTTTGGAGAGTTCTCGAGAAGAAATGTGTTGATATGACTTATATTCAAGTCATTAAAGATATGTATACTAGAGCTGTTACTTGTGTTCAAACTGAAGGAGGATTGAGGATGTACGTTGGTGTATGCTTTTTGCTGATGATATTCTTCTCGTGGATAAAACGAGAGAAAAAGCCCAGGAAAAACTTGAATTATGGAGGTCTACATTGGAGTCTAAAGGCCTTCGGTTAAGTAGAACTAAAACTGAATACATGGAATGTAATTTTAGTAGTAATAGCTCTAGTGACAAAAGTGTGACTTTGGGTGATCAAATTATTAAAAAGTGTGAACGATTTAGATATCTTGGGTCTGTTGTTCAAAGCGATGGTGATATAGATGGGGATGTTAATAGTAGAATTCAAGTTGGTTGGTTGAAGTAGAGGAATGCTTCGGGACTTTTGTGTGATAGAAAAGTACCGCTTAGACTGAAAGGAAAATTTTATAAGACGGTGGTGAGACATGCAATGCTCTATGGCGTTGAATGTTGGCCTTTAAAATAAAAGCATAATAATAAGTTAAGTGTTGCCGAGATAAGAATGATTAGGTGGATGAGTGGCTTTACACTAAGAGACAAAATGCGAAATGAATATATTCGTGATAGGTTTGGTGTAGCTCATGTGGCGGACAAAATTAGAGAAAGTTGTCTTAGATGGTTTGGTCACATTAAACATTGGCCATCTGATGATCCGATTAGGAGAGTAGATGTTTTAGATTCGACTTGTGTTAAGAAAGGCAGATGTAGACCTAGGAAGACTTGGGCTTATTGTAGTAAAAATGATCTTAATTTACTAGAACTAAATGAAAATATGACACTAAATAGGATGCAGTGGAGAAAAAGGATTCATGCAGCCGACCCCACGTAGTGGGATTAAGGCTTTGTTGTTGTTGTTGTTGTTGTTGTTGTTGTTTGTTCAGTTGCTAGAAGGTTATAAATATAAGTTTGTTTAGCAGAAAATAAAAATATAAAAAGCTGAGGTTAGCAAAACTTGTACCACGACTACTGGGGAGTAACTGAAGGCAAAAACATTCTTCTTGGTGAGACACTTGTCTACAAAGGGGCCAGTGGCAAACAGTATAGCTGCTTGGTAAGGTGAGGACTGATAAAGCAGTTGGGTTGATGAAACCTTCAGTTTCTTCTGTATTGTGTTTGTCATCTTTGAATCATGTTAAAGGTAAAAAACATGCTGCAAAATCCTTCAAAACAAAATAATCAAATCATTATTGCTTTCTTATTTTAAAGGGCATTTACATACATGGCACACAATTCTCATGTATTTATGTATCTCTCACTTAAACATTTGTATTTACACACATAGCACACAAATCGTTAATATCACGTAAAAAATAGCATTATTATCACTTTTTAAAAGTGAAATACAACTTTGCATGCATAGGTTTAAAGCACAAAAGTGCAATGTATGTAAATGTGAAAGTTTAAGTGTGAGATATATAAATAAGTAAGAATTGTGTGATTCAAATGTAAAATTCTCTATTTTAAAATGTGACAAAGACGACAAAGGATACAATTTGACCGATGCAAGTCGTTGCAATTGCGAGGAGAGACAAGATGGAGCCAAGGAGATTTAGCTTAAGGTCAGTTATGGAAGCAATACCAACCCCAAGGAGAAGGATGATAAGGGATAACTTTATGCTCCGGCTACAAGCAAAATCATAAAGTGAGCACCATTAAAACTTTCACTTAGGAGTGTGCAAACTTTTAATTTGAATATATTGACTCGCAAATCAGTCAAACCGAATGAAACTGATATCCGAAACCAAAAAACTGAACCATCTAAACTTTTACTGAATGAAATCAAAATCCAAAATAAAAAAAACTGAACCAACTAAACTTTTGTTAAAACTGATCTAAAAAGAACTGAAATGTAATTCAGTTTAATCAGTTCGACTAGGAGCAAACCAAAACTGAGCATCTGGTACTATTTCAAACTGAAAGAATTAAGATGTAAGGTTCTATTTCAAATTTAAAATTTTGTTTCTCTTTTTTATATCATCATCTTTTTAAAATTATAAATTTCATACTAAACTAAAATAAATATATTATATGCTCAATTTACTTTTTTTTCAAATGAATTTAATTTTCTAATCCTAATATTACTTGGTTTTTTGTTTTCTTTAATTTAATCAATATTAGAACTGACAAAAAACCAAAACCCAAAAACTGAATATTTAAATTTTGGAAAGAAAAAATTGAACTGTTAATTTAAAACCCAACCAAATCAATCAAATGAGCTCAGTTCGCTTCAGTTTGAAGTTTTGACCAAACAATACACCCGTCCATGACGCAGTATGAAGGCTTGTGTGCCACTTAAAATGGTTTTTGGGCTTTTAAAAAACAAGCATTAAATATTGTGTTAATGAACACAGGGCTTTATCAGGGTCACCTGAACTTCTTGTTGAGGAAAACTGTTTCCAACATGACAGTGAAAGGAATGATGGCCAGCTTCGTCATCTGCAGAAAAATCGCACAACAGTTCATGTAGATAAACATTGGAGAAGAAACTTAGAAAGCAGGGTCATTTGATCATCATTGGTGGTTGGCCAAACCTGGTAGAAACCAATAGAATTGAAGCCGAGGCTGAGGTTGAGGAGGCCAATGGAGGTGCCGTTAAGGAAGCCGAAGAGGACGATCGTACGGCCGTCAATGGCCTTCGGGTCGAAAAATCGTAGCCTTTGTGCCAAATGGAGCGTGCAAAATGTCACCATTAAGTGCCAACTTGTCAAGGTTGTTGCTATTGAATCCACACACCAAATAGTTTCTCAGATGAAAAAACAAAATCTCAAGCTGTGTAAGTGGACAAACTAGAATTTAAGAGGAGCGGTGTCGAAATTAAAAATTAAGTGATGGCAAGTATTTAATTTTAAGGTTTTCATCTCCTTAAGAGAGTTTTAGAACTATTATAAATATTATTATCAAATAAAAAAAATAGTTAATATTAAATTATTATTAAATATTTAAGTTTATGAGGTAAAATTGTCAGTGTATTATATGATACGAAAGAGTTTAAAAAGCCTAAGCCCACAACATATAAATGTGTGTAAAATTATATGTTTTACTTTGAAAAAGTTAATATTTGTGGCATCTTTTATACAACGTAAAATATTAAGTGTTAGGCGACTAAATATTAAAATTAAGGTGTTGGATATATAAATATAAAAAAAATGTTTGGTTAGGTAATAAAATTACAACTCAAACCAAACAATTTGAAACAGATTGTAAACAGAATGGTTCCATTCAATGTTGAACCAAACCATAGCCGTCCTGAAGTACAATAGAGCAGGCCTAAATGCAAAACACTCTCCTAAAACCCATACGCATCTTAAAGGATTGTAAAGGCTTAATCAAAACATGTGCTTCTAAAATGAATTTGAGAACAACTTGAACCCAATCACTTTGTAACAATTAAGAGAATTAAAAAATTGAATATTTACATACATACCACTCAATTCCTACGTATTTACATATCTAGCATCTAAAATGTAAAGAGGTAAAGTATGAGTGTGAGATATGTAAAAACATAGGAAGTAGATGGTATGTATGTAAATGCCCCTAAGACAAAAGCAAATTACATGTTGATTCATCAATTTCCCAATAAATTACTTGTCTGGTGCGAGAGACAAACCAAAGGGAAAGCCGAGGGAGCTCATAAGCGCTTTGTTGCAGATAACGATAGCAACTGATGAAGCCACCGAGAGAGCCAGCGATCCAACCACGCCGAGCTGGAACCCCGATCCCTCGATCATCTTTCCCCTCTATTCTTCTCCTTAATTTTCCAATATAAAAACTGCAAATCGGCACCAACGCCATGAAAAAATTAACTTTCAAAGTCAAAATTAAATATCACTCACATTACTCCAGTATACCATAAAGAAACCGAGAGGTTTCACCCATTTTCCAGGACCACTAGTGCGGTGGTTGGCTGAAACCCCACAACAAATATGGTTATTTAAACATGGTTGGTGATGTAGTGTTCTACAGTAACTCAATTTATTAATCATTTGAAAAGTACAAAGCATTATTTAAGTTCTATGCATAACAATGCAGATCCAAATAAATGGAGTTATTACAATCTAGAGTTGTTGTATTAGGGTTTTTAAAGAAAAATACAAAATCAAAGATGGTCGATAGAAAGAAATCTACAAAAAACAGAGGAAGGAAAGAAAGATCTGTACAATAAAACAGGGTTAAATAGAGAAATGCGCTGATCAGTCAAGGGAAACATTAGCTAAGAATCATAAAACCATTTGACTGCTGCTCAGCACGAAATTTTCAAAAACAGAACTATATGAAAGGATTTTTTTACTAAATTCTGAAGCCCGGATTCAGTTCTATCTAGTTTTGAAAAGAAACAATCAAACCTACTCTTTAAGCAGAATTGCCAAAATCAAGAAAAAAAAATGTTGCCGTGAATTAAAGCCCACCTTGATCCTCCCCACGGAGCTCTTTGCCACCCTTGATCCACTACAAACTCTGAGAGAGGGGCCGGGAGCTCTTGTAGGAGAAGGGTTTGCGGCCATTTTATGTTCGATTTGGGAGGCGCGTAACAATTGAGGCAGAAGCATGTTACGGTGACGGAAAGCAGAAGAGACGGAATCTTGTGAATATTGTCAAAACATTCTTGTGTATCTCGTAAATTACATAAAAGGTAAACCTTTACCGGAAAATTTATTAAGGGTCATTTTCCGGCGCTTCTGTTTATATAAATTATATTTTGACAGTTTTACTGAAAAAATTATTGCTGAAATTTGTATTTTCTCACCGCTCATTGCTAGATATGATGGTAACTTTTTAGCTACAATCTGACTATATATATATATATTTAAACATTAGATCATTATTAAACTGCCCCAAACAGAACTTAAGTCTGCCGACTGTACTTTTCATGATAGTTAAGGTTCACGGCGGCGTGGTCTTATCCGAACCATTGTCCAAATGTGTGATCAGCCACATATAATAATTTTCCCTTTGGGAGCCCTTCTTAAGTTCTCCCTTGAAAAGAAAGTACCTTCAAATTGTAATTTTGAAGGGATTGATCAAATTTTAAGTTTAATTGTATCATTTTTCCTCTATGCTAAAGAAAATATGTTTATATTGCATATTTTTTAAAGTTGTGCTTTAGTATTGCTATGTTAAAAATTAGGGGTTAGTGTGTGTTACATATTTGGATTTTTTAATTGGAGAGAAGACTCTCTACTAACTCCTCCATGGACTTTACAAGTGTATCATAAATTCAATGGTAGTTGATGAGAGAGCTTAATCTTTTTAATTATAAATTACTAAATTCTTCAAAATATTGAAGAATTTATCAAAATTTAAATTCTGAACTAGTAGATTTTATAAGGAATCAATTATTTAATAAAATGACAAATGGCCTGCACAAAGACTATTTGATGTAACTTTGGCATCTCCATGTTTCATGTTATAATATATATGTCTTTATTAAGGGGTGTAATTGAATCAAATCGAGTTGAACCGGCTCAGCCTTGGCTTGATAAGCCGCTCCTGAGTTGAGCTCCATGAGCTAACAAGTCAATCTCAAGCCATCCAGGGGTCGACTTGCTAACAAAAATTAATATAAAATATACTTAAATACATTAAATTTAATACTTTACCTTTAAATTATTTGAATTATTTTAAAAGTAATATTTTAACTTTATATTAAGTGATTTCTTATTATTTATCTTATAATTGCTTAGTATGTCTATCATTTTATTATAATATTAACATGAATTAATATTATTTTCTCTTTTAAATAATAAACAAGTCAGCTCAAACTCATAGAATTAAACTCCAGCTCAAGCTCTAGCTCGAACTCGATTAATTAATCAAGCTTAAGCAGAGATGACTTGAGCTCAGTTCGACTCATTTATTGTACGATGTTCATGCTTTATTAGCTTATTATCATCTTTATTGTACAATGCTATTTTTCGCTTGTCAATTTTATTTGGTTCAACTAAATTGAGTAAAATAAAACATTAATTTAAACCTACTAAATGGCAATGAGATGCATTGTTTATACCATAATATACATTAATTATATATGAATTATTGTTGCATATTAGAATATTTGTAATAGTGGGAAGAGTAGTTTTAACATCATATTTATATGGACATCTAACATACATAGATAGAAGAGATAAAAAAAATTATTTAAAATACTCAACAAAAAAAACCACAAAGCTCGACCTAATTAAAATGATCCGCTATATAAATAAATTATAAAAATTTGCACCTTCTTCAATTAAAGAATACAATATTATTAATATGAGTAGAAACTCGCAAAACGGTGGTGGAGTATGGTGACAGTTAAATAGTAACAATTGATTGAAGATTGTTAGGTGATGTCGATTAAACAATGATGATAATTGGACGACAATGTGAGACGACAACAATCAAGTGATAGTGGTCAGGTGATGACAGTTGTTGGCGGTGACTGTTACTATCGATCTCAAATAGAGTTTTAAAGTTCTTTATATGTCCAACTTCGCTCAAAATTTAGCTTAAGACTCTCTTAATGTTTACAATGAGTCTATTTATAAGTTTTTTTACGTTACTAAACACTTCCATAAGCAGTATATGCTGATTTTTTTTTATCATAGATGATTCTTTAACCCTTTTTTAAGTTCATTAGCATTGAAAATTTATGGTCATAATCACTCTGTAATACTCTCATCGATATGTTTAACTATAAGCATGCAAGCTTAAAAAATTATTCGATCCTTCAATTAATATCACAAAATCTTTAATTACACTTTCAGTAATTTATTTGTGCTCATTTGGACTCAGATCAGAACACTCTTGCTATTGTTAAGCTCATTTCGTCCGACATTCATTTTGACTATGAGTTTCGACTAAGAATTTGAATGAAACCTCTTGAATCTAAATAAGTCATTTACATACATATGTAAAATTTAGCTAAGTAAATATGTAAGAATTGAGTGGCATGCATGTAAATCTTTCTAAAATAAATTCAATTTGTAGGGTTCACATGCAGTTCACACAATCTGAAAGTTGGCAGATAATTACATGCCACCATATATAAATAAAAATGGAAAAGCTTGTAACAATTCATTTCATTTGGGTTTGGAGAATATTTTCTTTTGATTCAAGTTTAGTTTGGAAGGTGGATTGGTTGGAATGGCTGAGAATGCAAGCAAAGCAATGTGCCACCAGCTACAGCACATGTTGTTTGTTGTTGCTGTTTGTTGCAGAGATTAGACCCACACAATAAAAGGAAAAGTCATGGTCAATGCAGGGAACTCTCTCATATAACATTGAATGAAAGTTGTGAGGCTTTATATGAAAATGAATACTAGTCTCATGTAAAAAATAAAATGGCTGAAATAAAGTTCTTTATGCAATATTAGTGATTTATGTCTAAGAGTTTGAACATATTAGTTTTTTTAACATCGATTATTATAGTATTGTTGGGTGTCGGAAAATTTGTGATGATAGATTGACAGATTAACATCTTAGTGACGTGCAAGATCTCGGTGCACACACGCATAGATAGTTGAAAAGTATCATGATGAGACACCGAGAGTTTTTTTTGTTATAAAACCTGATAAAGAAAAGTGATCCAATATGATATAGTAAGTACATGTGTTTATTCTTCTCCAAAATTATAGAAGAATAAATTACAAAGATGATAATCAAGCGTAGTATATAGTGATTTAATAATAATAGTCATAATTGTGAGTGTTGCAATAGTTGGAGATAATCACCCCAAAACTTTTTAAGGGGGATTGTTGTTCCGGATTATCACCCAATTAGGAGGAGAATCTTTAATTGGATAAAAAAATCTCACGATTATAAACTAGGTCACTTAGGTTTTGATTGTTACATAAATTGGGAGTGGTTAACTTTAAAAATACCCAAACATTTGAATGCTTCATGCTAGGCTTAAAATGAGTAAACTAAAGCTTTTTTTGTTTATTCTGGAAAGTTAAATAGTTCTCTATGGAATTCATACGCAAGCTCGCAAACCATACATTACTTGAAGGTCACATAAACTTATGTGATATTTGGTGCTTCACAACATTTTGGTTGTATCAGCCACAGAGGGCGTAGTTGAAAGTTGTAATAATAGTTGACTACATAGGGTGTAATTAACTACATAGGCCATATTTGTCAACTAAATATCATCAGTTGATCATAGAGGTCATAGTTGGTAGCTACAGTAGCTATTAATCATATAAGCCATAGTTTCCTAGTGCGTAGTTGCAGTAGTAGTCAGCTGCATGGGCTATAGTTGGTCACATAGTTGGTACAATAGCTTCAGTTGGTCACATAGGCCGCAGTGGAAAACTACAATGGTTTGTGGCTACAACCTTTTATTGAATTTACTATTTCAAACCAGAGATATTAATTATAAGTAAATGAGGTAAGGAGAAAATTTTAGAGGTCTGAAAAAAGTTATCGCATTATGAATATGGCAATCGAAAGCAGTTGTTGTTGCATCTTCATTGCAGTGGTGTTTTTCATGCCATATTAAAAATATGTCATTACACAATATTTGTGATACATCGTTAGCAAACAGATTTTGCCAACAACATTGAGCAGGAGGGTCTGATGTTGGTTGATGGCTATGAGAGTCGGAAGTTATTGTTTGGTTTTCAATCTTGAATAACACTAGAATTTGACTCCTCCTCCCCCTCAAAGTAAAGAGATTGAGTCTATTTATAGCCCTTGAAAGATGGGCTTTTTGATCATTTGATAAATAACTCTCATAATCACCCGATCAAATGACTCACATTAACTCTCCTTAATCATAGAGGTTTTTTTAATTATTTGAGTGACGGTGATCTTGTTTGTTGAATTCTTCTTATTGAGATGCTCGATTTAACTATAGGTATGTCAAATTTAGAGTTCATTTGATTTTCTAATTTGCTATTCAAAGCTTCCAAATATGGTTTAATGGCTTGATCCAGGCTTGATCGAACCCAAATTATACCAATTTTGGTATCACCGGGTTCTTCTTGTCGAGACAATCAGTTTTACTATAAGCTTGATGAAATCATAGCTCTAGATGACCTTTAATTTGAATCTAGAACATCCATTGCTCGAAAAATGCCATGAGATTCATGAAATATGATAAAAAAATTGTTGATAATTTATCAGTTGCTTCGGGTGATATTGTTCGTGTCTTCTGAAAAATATAGATATTCTAATTTTTTGTAGTTTGAGAAAATTTGAGTTGTTTTAATACTCTGAAATTTGGATAAGGTTGTCATTGTCATGATGAGCGGAAGTCTAAAAGTTGTGGTGTGGGGTTGTCAGTGGCGGTCAAACAGTATTATTGTTGTGGTGTTAGCGCTCGTAGGGATATTTTAAGCCTTTGGAGGAGCAGGTATGCATGCACGGGTGCGTATGTATATTCGTACAAGCAAAAGAGTATTCTTATGCATTAAACTTGCAATGGAATCCAAACGTGAGCACAAACGCAGTAGGAATGCAATGAAGGGACCAGCTGGTGCGCACGTGGACACAAGCGGGGGCACACAGAAGCAAGCAGGTGTGCGAAGGCGTGAGCTTGCGGGCACCAACTTGATCAGAAGAAATTTTTAAAATATTAAAATTTACATGCATACCACAATTCCTATGGATTTACATCTCTAAAAACTAGAATTTGCAGTCTACAATACACCACCTAAATATTTCCTATACTTTAAATGGTGAAATGCACCTTCTCATACATAAATGAGGTATTATATATGCAAAAATTAAAGTTTAGGTGTGAGCATGTAAATAAATATAAATAGAGTGGTAGTTATGTTCGATTGAATGCCATCATTTTTCACATAATTTACAAAAATAATCTAACAAATAGTTCTAAAGTAACTATATTATAAAGTTATAGTTTCTATGGAGACAAGGAGAAATTATTTGAATAAAGATTGAGTTCATTCAAATATATCCTTTTTAAATATAATTCCAATTCATAGTATTTTGCGAATGAGAAATTTACAAAAGTACCGCACAATTATTATGTAATTACATATCTAACAGCCAAAATTTGATATTTACACTTATAGCACTATGTCATGGTAACCATAGGCATGAGAAGGTGCATTTCGTTTTCAAATAGGCGGTGATTAGTATATTTTTTATTTGATGTTAAAGCTCTGAGTGGTACAAATGTTTAGATGTCAGATTATGTAAGTACATAAGATTTGCATGTTAGAAATGTAAATGCCCGTTTAAGAATTATTTCTAATAGCCCTCATCACTAAACTCAAAACACGATCATCTCCTATATGAATTGCATCTCTCTTTCATAAGAGGAAAGAGAACATATTACGCTTGGAGCACCGAATATGCAGACGACAGCATGAATTGCATCATGTCAATATAAGCAATGGTGCTGTGCAATCCACAAAATTATACGAACATCCACACAATGCTCATAATATTTTCTCCTTTCACAAGCCTTAAATTATAACAATCTCCTTCAAAAATTGTTCTTTGCAAGAGCTACATCATGTTGTGACAATTCAATAACAACCAATCATATAACTGATTTTATAATTCATCCATTTAAAAAAAAAAAAAACATTTTCTAATTTCAAGCAAAAAATAGGAGATTAAAGAAAAATGAGATTTAAATAATGTAGATATGATAAAGTTTGTGGGAACAATGTACCCAAATATTTCATATATTACAAGAACACCCCTTTTTAAAGGGAAAAAATCTAACAATGTCTTACATCAATAACCACAACAAAACAATTTAATGAATGAATAATGAAGCCCATAGTTAACAAAAACTAATCTTATTCATTTAGGAGAGTATACCCAGTGGCAGCGCTGGAGAAGAGAGCCTATGAAGCCCTCACCCACCATTGAATCTAGAAAATTCTGGATAATTATCTTTAAACTCCCCTACAATTTTGTATATTGCAAATCGATCATCTTCCCTAAAATATTTTTTTTTTTCAATTTCCAATTCTACCAATGTATATAACCCCCCTTCCATTGAATTATTTTATCTCCAAGTTCTCCTTAACCAATTTATCTCACACCACACAACACAAACAAAACTTTCATATTTACATGCATACCACACAATTCCTATATATTTACATATCTAACACCCAAAAATTTCATGGTTAATACATAACACTCAAAATTTTCACATCACATTAAAAAGCACATTTTCATGCATAAGCTTTTAATGCCGAGATGTTATAAATATAAATATCAAATTTTACGTGCTAGACATGTAAATGCATGAGAAGTGTTATGGTATGCAGGTAAATTTAGCAGAAATGCAGGTATTACCTGGAAGAAAAAGAATTGGTAGGCCGGATGACCGGCATTGGATGTCTCGGTGATAGCAGTAATGTCTGTGAACGATGAAGCATGTCCACCATTAATGGCGTCTGGTAGGAATGAGCAAGACCAGAACTATCAATGGAGGTTCCTCTAGTAGTTGCTCTCTGCCATGAATGTGAGCTCAGCCCCGAAAGCATATAAGCCCTTCCAGACTCTTCATACTTCTGCCGACTCTCCATCCTCTCCTGCATTTCCCTCAGCTCAGCATCCATGGAAACACACAGCCGATCCCCCGATCGTCCTACCGCCGACAATGAAAGTATGGAACGCTGAGATTCGAGAATCAAAACGGCTTCAGAAAGAGCGCCTCGCTCGGCCGCCACCCTCGCTTCCGCCATGGCCTTGGCCGCCTGGACTCGAATCCTCTCGCGCTCTACTTCGGCGGACATTACTCGTTCCGCCACATGTTCCGGCCTTCGGATTCCAACATCTTCGCCTTCCATATTCACCATTTCGTTCGACAAAGGATCTCTGTAGGAGCAATAGAACTTTAGCAGCACAGTTTCTTCAGCAGTGGCAGGTGGAACACTGACAGAAACAAGGAAATCCCTCTCTTCTTCGGCGTAGAGATCCCCAACGCTGATCAAACCGTTGGCTCCATCGAACACTTGGTTTGCATAACTTCCTGATTGAATCGACGTGAGGTGCACATCAGGGTTTACGCGCTCGATCTTGACAATCAATTCCTGCACCAGAACACTGAGAAGCCCACCAATGCACTGTGCGAAGGCATCCTGGATTGCGAGCTCAGATTCGATGAATGAGAAGGTACCGCCCGAAGTCTCTGAAATCGAGTGCATGGAGACAGAATCATGGTCCGCACCAAATCCAAACACGTGAATAGGAATCCGATGCCCGACGCCGGAAAGTATGGAGGACGGCACGAGAGATCGATAATCCGACGACAAGCGATTTACACGACCACCAGTCGAGGAAACTGTGTATGTATCTTGCCCATCTGAAAGAAGTATGATGCTGCACACAGGATTTTTCTCCTTCCTCTCTTCAATTACTTTGGCGCCTTTCCTCAAACCCTCAGCAATATTAGTTCCTCCGCTCGAAAACAGAGAATTTATAGCCTGCAACGCGTAGAGCCGGCCGGCCTCGGTCATACGGCGAAGAGGGAAGAGACGGCGAGCCGTGGAAGAAAAGGCAATGACAGAGAGTCGATCGGAAGGGCTGAGGTTCTGGATAACAAAGCCCATAGCACGCTTCAGTAGAGCGAGCTTTGTGCCGGCCATGCTGCCGCTGATATCAAGCACGGTGACGAGATCAACAGGCGCACGAGAAGGCAGTGATGCCGTCAGGCTCGAGTTCTGGAAGAAGGGGGTCCTTGAAACAGCACAAGGGGCCTTCAGGTGGATCAATATACAGAAGGATTCTTCGGAAGCCAATTTTGGTATGGCGCTGCACTCCGGGTATGCTTTAATATCAACTGTCCTGGTTGATCTATGTTCAGAATTCTTGACAGTTTCTGATAGAAACTCGACGGGTTCATCGTCGTCGTAATCATTGGGCTCGGAGATGGTGTAAGGAGAGGCCAGATGATGTTGCCTATTGAACGAACTTGCGCGCGCAGGCCTGCGCAGAGAACCATCTTCTTGCGGCCAAATAACAGGGTTAGATCTGGCTCTCCCACGAGGAAGATCCAACAATGGTGTTAGAAAAGGAAGCTCCTTCCATTTAGCTCTGCAAATAGGGCAAACACGATTTCCATGCTTGACGTTCGAAGCGATGCAGGCGAAATGGAAAACGTGGGAACATTCAGCAGTGAAGAGAGCACCACGGCCTGCTTTCATATTGCCCAAACATATAGCACATGTAGCGCATGTTCTCTGAAAGAATATAAGTTGAAGAGAAAAAATGAAGTTATGAAAGTACTCACAATTTCAAGTTCAGATAGGACCAAATAGTAAATGTACAAAGTAAATAAAATCCAGTTCAGACAGGACAAATAAGAGAGCTACATTGAAGGTGATTGATAAGCGAGATGACAATCAATCTCTGTAACTATTATTACAATGTTATTGCAACTGCTTTTACAACTAACAACTAATGTTGTGGTTATGCAATTAATATGTGCTACGGTTAATATACCTACTGCAACTAACCATTATAACAGTGGTCAAGCAATTATTGCTGCATGATGTTGCAAATACATATAAATTAAGGAGAATTCAAATGCAAATATGAGCTGAGAAACATCAATTTAGATGAATGAAAAGGCAAATACTGGTTGGGGGATATTGACTCACAGGAATCCAAATACAAATACAGTTTAGACCACACCACAGGTGCATACGAGCTGAGTTGAGTTCAAACCATCCTTAGTATGAGCTTGAGCACTCGAGCTAAAATGTTTAACGAAAATACTCTTTATCCTTAATCACGTTCACCACTCGGCTTAAGAGACTCTTAAAGAGCTCAAGTGATGTTCCTAGTAATCACTGACTAGTTGTTTATTAGAGACAAATATCTTGGCAATTTCCTTTTTCAATTCGCGATCAAGTTGATGATGTTGTGGCTGATCCTAGAGAGAGTCATATTACATTCTAACCTTGATGACATTGAAGTTACACATATTCTTAATTATTGAATGTCAATGCTACCACTAATTTTGAAGCCAAAGTTGCTAAGGTTTTGATATATCCTGATTATACTCATTTGTATTTATGTGACTATTGGTGAGTTCCAGTATTAATACTAGCATATTTGACTATATTAATCCTTATGTGTATCTGAAAGATTCTTCTTTTAAACCTAATGTCAATGCAACATCATGCTTAGCATCACTTGCTAGAAACGGGTGATAATCATCAGCAAAGCTTGTGAACTTCTTAGCGATTTATGTGACTAGCAAATTTATTAAAGAAAATATCTTAAACTCGACGAATGACATTATTGTGCCCAATGGGAGGCGCATAAACACATGAGACACTTTAAAGAGTTGTTGATATCAAGTAATGAGTGGCTGATTCAAAATAAATCACATGATTAGTTGGGTCGATTTTTCCATAGTAAGACTTGGGTGGAGAATTCAAAATTTTGTACGGCTTTGCTTCTTAAATTTTTTTGAAGAAGGAATTAATTAATTAACTATGATTTTTGTTTCTTGACACGTCAAGGAGGAGTTTTGAACTCTGCTATTATCTGGATGATAAGTTTCGTCCAGTACTAGCGTTGAGGTTTATGCACTTGTGCTTGCGGGCATCTTTGAATTATTGAATCTGAAGATTCTTTGAGTATCTCCACTCTTATGGTGCTTTTGGGAGTATGCTCTTTTTAATTTTAGGCATCAATTCATACTCAGTGTACCTTTCATGATGTTAGATCCAAATATATCCATGGTGATGCTAGGCCGCTGCTAAATAGACTAGCGAGGTTTTGCAAGATGGAAAATTAAGAAAAAATTGGGAAAGAAGTGAGAGAGAGAAGGGGTTTGGGCGCAGGTTGTTGGGTGAGGTGGGGTGGGTGGGAAGCAGGTGGCATGTATTTCTAGAAAAGGTTCTAAGATTTATGTTGGCAACCAAAAAAAATTGAAGAAATCTCCAGTGCAAAAAAAATATCATTTTGACCTAATATTCATAGGGATGAGAACGCTGCAAGGAAAATTGACCTTATAAAAAAAACATGAAAAATTATTATAAATATATGAACATAATGATCAAAATTCTAATGAGTAAACATGCAACTGCCTTGGCAAACTGATGGGAGTTACTGACTAAACAAGTGGGTCTCCGACATTAGTGGGATGTAGGCAAGTAGCTCTTGAAAGTGGGCAAGTGAACTTTAAGGCTGAGTATATTCTGGCAAGTCCGCTATGATTCTAGACAAGTGCACCATGATCTTTGGTGAATCTACCATTTCAAATTTCTAAGTCTCGCCAAACAACCTTGTGTTAAACTATTCTCGCCTAGATAAGCTCTGGGTATACTTGGATATACAGATAAAGTGAGTCTAGATCGTAATTGACATAACCTTTATGTGTACACATACACAAGCAATTAAGTAAATTGGAATGTAGGAAATGGTATTTTTTCTATGAAAAATCCAACAAGAAAAAAACCATGATACCTTACCTTGTTGAACAATTTCTATTCATATGAAAAAAGAAACAAGGAACAATTTTGCCAGTATGATTTGAAAAATACAATGCAAAAATATGTGTTGTCTAAAATGATATAAGAGCATCAAATGGAGATGATAAAGCACTAATCTAATGAGAGATAATTATGGCATAGGTTTTGAAGGAGAAAATTGTGGAACAAACATCAAGAAAGATGGATGTTGTGCAATCGCGGTGAAGAGGCAGCAACACAAGCCTATAAAAAGACAATCGAAGCTCAATCCTACTAAAGGAAGATGATTATGGCGTAGTTTTAGTAAAATACTTGACAATACTAACGTAGCACAAGTCACACAAGAGATTATTATAATGAATTTCATGCTAGAGAAACTATGACGCATGTCTTGTAGAAGACAACTATAGTGCGGGCCTAGTTGGAGACAACTAAAGTGATGGTTTTACGGGAGACAATTAGGGCAACACAAGCATTGAAGGATATGAGTATGGTCTAGCACATGCCTTCAGAATGATGGTTGCAGTGCAAGCTTTGTAATAGATGGATGCACATGAATTGAGGGAAATATCAAAAGCACGATTCTTACTGGAGACAAGGGGCATATGAGATTATAATGTAGCATTTGGGAGAGATGATCTACGGAGACAAGGGGCATATGAGATTATAATGTAGCATTTGGGAGAGATGATCTACGTGCAGTTTTTATACGAGAAGACTGTCACAACCCAACTCGACGAGACCCATTATATTGAGGCGGGTCATCTCGTGTTGAGATCATGACAGAGAAATTATTACCCAAGATCTATTTGGAAGGAATCTTTCATTTTTTTTCTTCAAGTTTCTCACATAGAGTCGCTAATATCATCAATGTTGTAAAATAAATATACCTAAAATTCATTCAGATCACATAGATATACAACAATCATGATTTAATTTCTCTATCAAACAATACCATGACTATCAAAATAATTATCAAAGATACTAACATACAAAAAATCAGGCTCTCAAAAGTAATATAAAAGTCTCTGCTCAACTTGAATCTTACCCTTCCCTGAAAGAACACATGTGAGAAAAGCAGGAATGAGCAACCACAACTCAGTAGGCTACTCAAAATCTAATGCAGTTTTCATGTATTTGATGTAAATAAATCAAACAAGCTAAAATATCATGTCTAGTATCTATTACAGTGTCAATACAAGAAATTATAACTACAGTAGACATATGTTAAATAACAATAAAAGCAACATGATATCATAATTACAAGAAAATAACATAAAAATCAAATTCAATTCTTCATTTGAATTACTTTAATATTTTTTCACTTCGCCTCCTTATACCTCCACTTCCATTCATTCATATTTTTCCTATGCCCCTTATAGTTGCACTTCCACTCATACCTCCACTTGTTCACATCTGTTCAGACGTACTAAATGCATAGATGGATAACTACATAAGTGCATAATCACTCATAAATCCACTTGATTGCACATAACATACATCCGCCAATCATAACTAACTGCAACTCCCCAATTTTTATCATTTTTAGAATATATTTCGATATAAAAGCATATAAATGATAAAAATTTTGACATATCAAATTTCATAACATGTTGTAGACCGTGGTACATACTATTCGACACAAATAATTATTTGTAGGGGACATAAATATACACACATCGCCAAGCAAAATTTGTAAAACCACTTACCTAAAATGTCCAGAATAATATTTCGAGTGTTTCTTACTCTATAGCAAATTCGTTAGGTTCAATACACGCCTGTTGACCTCATTTTAGTGAGGTCTTAGTCTTCTACTCTTAGAACCTAGGATCTAGCTTTAGGAGTTCTTATTGACAATCCTAGCGGACTAGCAATGGAGCCCACCTCCCGTAGAACTTCAAGCCACTTCTTGACTCATTTTTGTGAAGAACTCGCATGAGTGGTTCCGAGCACTCAACTTCTAGTTGTAAGGGCTAAGGACCAACATGTAGAGGGCCCGAAATTGAGTTCCTATAGGATCAACAGCCTTAGGTGAACCCTTTGTGACTCGATTACTCGCGAACGCCGCTTTTCACGCACTCCCTGCACCACACACAATTTTG